AATTTGTATGGCTCTGAAAAGAGCCTTTTTTTTTTTTTTAATTATTTCAGTCCATCATCCTTTCACTTTTTGCCTTTCTTTGGAGTGGCTTTTTTAACTGCTTTAAGTTTCTTTCTTTGCTTTGGGAGGCTTCGGCTTCGTTGCTTTCACAACTTTCTTTGGGCTTTTTGCTTTACTCACTTTTTTAACGCTCGTTTTTTTGGCAGCAGCAGGCTTTTTCTTCTCCTCTTTTGCTTTAGCTGGTTTCTTTGCAGGCGCTTTAGCTTTCTTCGCCGGTGATGCAGCTGCCTTCTTTGGCTTCTTCTCTTGCTTTCCTGACTCCTTATTTTTATGGCCAGATGCACTAACTTTGAATGAACCAGTAGCTCCCTTTCCTTTCGTCTGAACTAGGCTTCCACCAGCTACAGCACTCTTCAGATACTTCTTGATAAAAGGGGTCAAACGGTCAATATCCACTTTGTGATGCGATGCAATATGCTTCTTAATGGCTTGAAGAGAAGAGCCACCCCGTTCTTTCAAACTCGTAATAGCCTCTACGACCATAGCTGAAACTTTAGGATGTGATGGTATCGTCTTCGGTTTCTTACTCGCTGATTTCTTCGCCTTCTTTGGCGTAGCAGCAGCAGGTGAAGATGAAACGGTCTCTTCGGTTGACATTGTTAGGCCTCCGAACGAACGAACTAACTGTCCGATGGTAAATATCGAAATGAGGGTACCCCAATATGTGTGCGTAGACTTGGGGGAGGACACATGAGGCGGGGCTTAGAAATTTGACCTTTCATAGGTCTTGTATGCTCACGTGACCTATCAAACAGAGTTAAGAAATACGAATAGCCCGCGAAATTTTTATTATTTCTTGATTTCTAGTTGCGTTGTGAAGTGCTGAAGAAGCTCTTACTTTTGAGATGGCTCGTACGAAGCAGACTGCAAGGAAAAGTACTGGAGGTAAAGCTCCTAGGAAACAGTTAGCTACTAAGGCTGCGAGGAAAAGCGCACCAGCTACCGGTGGTGTTAAAAAACCTCATCGTTACAGGCCTGGTACTGTTGCTCTCAGGGAGATTCGTCGTTATCAGAAATCAACAGAATTGCTGATCCGCAAATTGCCTTTCCAACGTTTAGTCAGGGAAATTGCACAAGACTTTAAGACCGATCTTCGATTCCAGAGCTCAGCGGTTATGGCTCTTCAGGAAGCCAGTGAAGCTTACCTGGTAGGATTATTTGAAGATACCAACTTGTGCGCTATCCATGCCAAGAGAGTGACTATAATGCCGAAAGACATTCAGCTGGCTCGTCGTATTCGTGGCGAACGCGCTTAAGTGACATTTTGTTTTTAAAAAAAGGCCCTTTTCAGGGCCATACAAATAATGTAATAAGTTATGTTACAATAATTGCTTCCTTTTATTCCCTGCCTTTTTTTCCCCCATTAAAATTTTCTACTCATTCGAAAATCTTCCCTCTTTTCATTAAATATTTATGAGTTATTAAAATTGAATGCGCACATTCAAGTCTGCCAAATTTTTATTTCGAAATCATCACTTTATAAAGATTTCTTTCCTCTGACAGCAATTATTGTAACTGAGCTTATTAAATAATTTGTATGGCGCTTAAAAGTATTTATTCTTTGCAAAGTATGCATATCCAATCACTTTAATTCCGTTAGGAACTTAATATTCGAAATCTTTTTCACATGAATAATCTACGGATAGATGGCACCACTTACAAGATGTGTTTTAAAACATTGTTTATATACGATTAAAATATGAATTTTTGGGAGACATTTAATTTTAATTCCTTTAAGTTCCTCCTTAAATATTTGCATCATAATGGATGCAAATGTCTGTTACTCTCAACATTGTATTAAAATTAGATCTTATAGAACATATGATAAAGAAACAGAAAAATACACAATTGTACATGTGTCGCCTCTTTCTAATTCAAGCAATTAAGCATTTTCTTTTTGGTATATTTTTTGGCCCTTAAAAGGGCCTTTTTTTGAGGGTGGGTGGCAATGTCAAGGATAAGTTATGCTTTCTTTTCTGTCTTTTTTGGGAGTAGTACAGCCTGGATATTGGGAAGCACTCCACCCTGTGCAATAGTGACACCAGAGAGCAGTTTATTTAATTCCTCGTCGTTTCTTATAGCCAGCTGAAGATGTCTAGGAATTATTCTAGACTTCTTGTTATCTCGAGCTGCATTACCGGCCAATTCCAGAACCTCAGCAGCCAAGTATTCTAAAACTGCTGCAAGATAGACAGGAGCGCCGGCACCTACTCTTTCTGCATAATTTCCTTTTCGCAGAAGACGATGGATACGACCGACAGGAAACTGAAGACCAGCACGACTGGATCGAGTCCTGCTCTTTTCCCTTAACTTTGCCACCTTTACCACGACCAGACATGATGATATGATTGCAAGATTAATAAGTGCCCTAAACCCCCGCGTTTTAAACTCTGTAATCTACCATTTTTAAACCTTGGCAAGACGAGGTGGAGTAAAGCGTATTTCCGGCCTCATCTATGAGGAAACGCGAGGAGTTCTGAAAGTTTTCTTGGAAAATGTGATCCGAGATGCTGTCACCTACACAGAGCATGCCAAGAGGAAAAACTGTCACTGCTATGGATGTCGTTTATGCATTAAAGAGACAGGGACGTACTCTATATGGATTTGGAGGTTAAATATCATTACCTTGCCCTAATTCCCCCCCCCCCCAAAAGGCCCTTTTCAGGGCCATACAAATTTTTAAAAAAGATATGCCTTTATTGTAAAATTTCTCGCTATAACAGTACTCCCGATTTAATTATATCGGTTTAAATCATTATCTACTTAAGCTGTATGAATCGAATTAAAATTAGCATTTTATATTCCTTCTTTAAAAAGTTACACACCAATAAAAATAAATCTATTTTTTTATAAAGTATTTGTATTCATTAAATCTTTTTTTGTGAAGAAGTATTGATTATTTTTTAATACTTCATTGGCCGGTCAGATGGAGGCCTCTCTTCTTCAGGAGCAAAGGAAAAAGAAAGCTTTCTTCTGAAGAGGACAGACTTGTGTTTCGCATTAAATATTACATATCTACTATTCATAGGCACACTAATAAAGGCATATCTTTATTAAAATTTGTATGGCTCTGAAAAGAGCCTTTTTTTTTTTTTTAATTATTTCAGTCCATCATCCTTTCACTTTTTGCCTTTCTTTGGAGTGGCTTTTTTAACTGCTTTAAGTTTCTTTGCTTTGGGAGGCTTCGGCTTCGTTGCTTTCACAACTTTCTTTGGGCTTTTTGCTTTACTCACTTTTTTAACGCTCGTTTTTTTGGCAGCAGGCTTTTTCTTCTCCTCTTTTGCTTTAGCTGGTTTCTTTGCAGGCGCTTTAGCTTTCTTCGCCGGTGATGCAGCTGCCTTCTTTGGCTTCTTCTCTTGTTTTCCTGACTCCTTATTTTTATGGCCAGATGCACTAACTTTGAATGAACCAGTAGCTCCCTTTCCTTTCGTCTGAACTAGGCTTCCACCAGCTACAGCACTCTTCAGATACTTCTTGATAAAAGGGGTCAAACGGTCAATATCCACTTTGTGATGCGATGCAATATGCTTCTTAATGGCTTGAAGAGAAGAGCCACCCCGTTCTTTCAAACTCGTAATAGCCTCTACGACCATAGCTGAAACTTTAGGATGTGATGGTATCGTCTTCGGTTTCTTACTCGCTGATTTCTTCGCCTTCTTTGGCGTAGCAGCAGCAGGTGAAGATGAAACGGTCTCTTCGGTTGACATTGTTAGGCCTCCGAACGAACGAACTAACTGTCCGATGGTAAATATCGAAATGAGGGTACCCCAATATGTGTGCGTAGACTTGGGGGAGGACACATGAGGCGGGGCTTAGAAATTTGACCTTTCATAGGTCTTGTATGCTCACGTGACCTATCAAACAGAGTTAAGAAATACGAATAGCCCGCGAAATTTTTATTATTTCTTGATTTCTAGTTGCGTTGTGAAGTGCTGAAGAAGCTCTTACTTTTGAGATGGCTCGTACGAAGCAGACTGCAAGGAAAAGTACTGGAGGTAAAGCTCCTAGGAAACAGTTAGCTACTAAGGCTGCGAGGAAAAGCGCACCAGCTACCGGTGGTGTTAAAAAACCTCATCGTTACAGGCCTGGTACTGTTGCTCTCAGGGAGATTCGTCGTTATCAGAAATCAACAGAATTGCTGATCCGCAAATTGCCTTTCCAACGTTTAGTCAGGGAAATTGCACAAGACTTTAAGACCGATCTTCGATTCCAGAGCTCAGCGGTTATGGCTCTTCAGGAAGCCAGTGAAGCTTACCTGGTAGGATTATTTGAAGATACCAACTTGTGCGCTATCCATGCCAAGAGAGTGACTATAATGCCGAAAGACATTCAGCTGGCTCGTCGTATTCGTGGCGAACGCGCTTAAGTGACATTTTGTTTTTAAAAAAAGGCCCTTTTCAGGGCCATACAAATAATGTAATAAGTTATGTTACAATAATTGCTTCCTTTTATTCCCTGCCTTTTTTTCCCCCATTAAAATTTTCTACTCATTCGAAAATCTTCCCTCTTTTCATTAAATATTTATGAGTTATTAAAATTGAATGCGCACATTCAAGTCTGCCAAATTTTTATTTCGAAATCATCACTTTATAAAGATTTCTTTCCTCTGACAGCAATTATTGTAACTGAGCTTATTAAATAATTTGTATGGCGCTTAAAAGTATTTATTCTTTGCAAAGTATGCATATCCAATCACTTTAATTCCGTTAGGAACTTAATATTCGAAATCTTTTTCACATGAATAATCTACGGATAGATGGCACCACTTACAAGATGTGTTTTAAAACATTGTTTATATACGATTAAAATATGAATTTTTGGGAGACATTTAATTTTAATTCCTTTAAGTTCCTCCTTAAATATTTGCATCATAATGGATGCAAATGTCTGTTACTCTCAACATTGTATTAAAATTAGATCTTATAGAACATATGATAAAGAAAAACAGAAAAATACACAATTGTACATGTGTCGCCTCTTTCTAATTCAAGCAATTAAGCATTTTCTTTTTGGTATATTTTTTGGCCCTTAAAAGGGCCTTTTTTTGAGGGTGGGTGGCAATGTCAAGGATAAGTTATGCTTTCTTTTCTGTCTTTTTTGGGAGTAGTACAGCCTGGATATTGGGAAGCACTCCACCCTGTGCAATAGTGACACCAGAGAGCAGTTTATTTAATTCCTCGTCGTTTCTTATAGCCAGCTGAAGATGTCTAGGAATGATTCTGGTCTTCTTGTTATCTCGAGCTGCATTACCAGCCAACTCCAGAACCTCAGCAGCCAAGTATTCTAAAACTGCAGCAAGATAGACGGGAGCGCCGGCACCTACTCTTTCAGCATAATTTCCTTTTCGCAAAAGACGATGAATACGACCAACAGGAAATTGAAGACCAGCACGACTGGATCGAGTCTTGCTCTTTCCCTTAACTTTGCCACCTTTACCACGACCAGACATGATGATATGATTGCAAGATTAATACAAAAATGACGCTCTAGAGACCCCCGTTTTATTAACTCTGTATCTACCATATTTAACCAATGAGCGCAAGACTTTGAAATGAATGGTCCAATAGAATTGTAGCTCTCAATCTCTGTTAGGCACCCTGTGTGGAAATATCAATTCATATTTTTAATTTATTTTTCCTTTATATTAACTAGTTAGCTTGTCGTACACCACTGACTTAAGTCATATCAAATACTAAAACATTGAGTAGAACCGTTTAATGACCAAGTATTTGTAATAAGAGAATATTATTGTTATTCAAGCATCTTCTGAATATTAATAAACAATATTTCTGCTAAGTAGATGAAAGAAACATGAAAAGAAAAGAAAAACATGTAGATAAATTCTACTATACTTGATATTGCTTCTCCTTCAACTGGCAAAATGTTTTATCATACAAAGCTGTGGTACATAGTTTCACTCTATATGTGTACTCATACTCTAGAGTACATATATAGGTGAGGAACTACTGATACTACATATGTATACGATTGAAATTAGAAATATACTCTTGAATGCAGATATACTTACCTCCAATAAGAATTAAAAATGCATGTATGTGTGTGTATATATATATATTACACTTAGTCCTCACTGGCACCCGAACCCGAACATATTGGCCATTTCAAAACCCAGTAATTTATAATCACATTACTGGACAGTATCAGAAAAACATAACTAACATTATCAGATGTTTTCTATAACTGGTTGATACTAATTTGATATTTTGTATATGTTAGTTAAATCACTGAACGGAATTTTACATAACTTTAAAATTCGTTTTTATTAAGTACAGTAGATAGCATTAAAATTTAAACTCAGTAGTTCTCCATTTCCTATCCCTTCCTCCAAGGCCAAGAAGGTATTCATATTTCAAGAACAAGAAAAGGAAGGAAACTAAGCTTTACAGAAAATGCTTATTATAATACTTGCCATTCATGTACACTTTCATAACACACACAAAGAAAGTAGAAGAAACTATGTGCATGCATATTTAAATCATCTAACCATAAGTAATTTTAAAGATGGTTATGTCTTATTGAAACAGATTTATTAACCTAAATAGAAAATATGAAACATAAATATTATTTTTATACATTTTATTTCTATACTAAATCACGTTACATGACATAAAACAGAAGCAAAACACATAACAGGAAAGAGCTTGAATCAGTAAACTGTTGCCATTCACTGTGAAAATACAACTGTTGCCAATTACTGACAAAGTATGACTGTTGCCACTATATCTAATGAGATGAAGAGTAACCCTCAACATATCTTTCAGGATAGGCCAATAAATGAATTAATTCTTTAAAGCAGTGCCATTGTGATCACTCAACTTACAAAGTGTACAGATAGATGAATTTGCATCCTGTAGTGGAAGATGGTGCCTGTTTTGGTTAAAATAAAAAGTGCATCTTAAAGTTTCATTCTTCTTTGAAACATATGAATACATGAAACATGGATACTTATTGCAAAGGTAAGTGCATTGAACAGTATATTTTCGATCTGAATCGTATGTATGAAGCACAAGCTGTATGTTGGAAGCATTAAGCCATTTTGCCAAAGCATGTTTCTCTTATTAGAATTCTTGTTTCTAGTGTCTATTCTTTAAAGTATGTTTTTTTTAACAGTAATATTAATGTAATTATATGATGATTATGAGAATTGGTATTAATTGTGTTAAGTATTCAGAACATGTGTTTGAAAAACGATAGTATTCTGTCATTCTAAATGCTTGGTCACTTAGTTAGTATGTAACATTTTCATCTGAAAAATTAAGTAGTCTATTTCAAATGATAGTGCAATGGGTGATCTGTCCAAGAGGCATGACTGAAAACCAGTAACTGAATGTAACGAAGTGAAAAATCTGTACCTACTTTTACTAGCTTATTTACACTAAATTATTACTAATGGAATTTAAGAGATACTGAATTGATTGCAAATGATGTAATCAGATTTACACATCTCCATGCAATGTCGTGTGTAATTTGGGTTACTTTCTGATGAGTTTGATCAAATCAAGATATATATATATATACAATGAATAAGGAAATTCCTACAAATTTGCTGTGCTCACTGTTGTGCCTCCTAATTAAAATCTTTTTATTGTCAGAGTAGGCATATTGGCACCAGTCCCGATTAACTATATTTGAAGATTTTGCCCAGAAACGATGGATGTATTGTAAATGGCATTTAATCTCACACAGCTGACACATGATGGTATGGAATATGACATGTAATGTTAAAGTAGTCATTTATTTCATCAAATGAAAGGACTTTTGTTGTTGCTGACAAAATTGAATATTTCCTGTTGGTTAAGTGCACAGTTGAAAACTTTAACGGTCAGTTCAGAGAGAGGAAATGAAGTCACTTGTTTCTGTGTTGTTACGTTGTAAAAAAAATGTGCTTGTGTTCAAGAAAGTGTAATTATCTTCGAAAAATTGAAATTCAAAGTCAAGTTAGATGCCTGTTTGTAATTTGGTGGGATGGAATGTTTGTATTAGAAACATCACATTTCCATGAAGTCGTAAAATTGATGAAAAGTGACAAAACGACTATCAAATATGAAGAAAAGGTTTATTAGTTATAAATGTGAGTAAGATGAATAGATTACAATACAAACAATGATGTGAAATCAATGAAAATTGGAAAAATCTGGTGATGTGTGAAATATGAAAAATATATTTATTAATTATAAAAGCAGGAATTTTATTAATTAATTATATACGAGGAAGAAGAAAAAAAATTATATATATGAAGGAATTTTATGCAGATCCCCGCCCCGCCCCCTACCTTCCTTCCTACCTACCTACCTACCTACAGCGGGATTCGAACCCGGGCCCTTCGGCCCAGTAGATAGTGTCACTAACCACTGTCCCGCCTCGACAGGCTAGCCACTTTCCTGTGTAGGCAGTACTTATGATATTTCGGATATTATAGAATGTCTTCATTCCAAGTATTCTGAGAAAGGCTTTGATCGAGCTAGTGAAACCATTTGTGGTGCATTCAGATGTCTTGCTCATCTTGTCCACAGAGTAACTACAGTGTATATCTTGCTTCAACACTGTATACGTATTCTTATGATGATTTCTGCCTCACTACGAACTCTCTACAACTAACCCACTGCTATGGATCTGCTAATACTTCTCTTCCTACTTCTACTTCAACTCACCTGTCTAAGACTTTCGTTATGCTACTCAACGTTCGAAAAGTTATCTAATTGTTATATTGGGAATTTTTTTTTTTTTTTTTTTTCCATGTAGCCATGTCTGACGTGTATTCTTTTCTTCGAGTGATTAGTTTCATCAAACACGAAGCACACAGTTCTTTTACTTCTTATTATCGTGTATATGTTGCATTAGATCCATATATTGCCGGGGGGGTTAATTTGTGAAGAAAAGGACAGGGGGGAGCCAAGTTTCCAACCTGTCGTTGTAATAATAGTAAATTCTCCTGTCACGTTGTCATGAAGCTAATTAACTCTCTGAGCATTACGGGCTTAGCCTTGATGACTCTTTCATTTTGTACCTTGATTCCTTTTCTTCCAATATACATCCAAACTGAAATCAGATACGTTAACTCTTTAAAATCCAGACCCTTCGCTAAGCTGTATCCTCAAAATACCCGAACCGCCCGAAACCCGAAATACTTTACCAGTTTCACAGCAATTTCCTCACCTCCCCGTCCATTAATGCAGAAAATAGGTGTAAAGATTTCCAATGACATCCTTTGTACTTTCTAACAAAGATTCCATTAGCCTTTGACCCCATTCTTTATAAAACTATTCTGAAGGTCAGATCAACAAGCCTTTCCAGCTTTGTTATGATCACAACTGAGAGATTGTATCTCAACGAAATGTCACGATCATCCAAAAGATAAAAAAAACCTCTTAGGACAAGCTGTCTGCAGTAAACTGATACAATGCATTTGGGGAAAGTGCACCTGCTACTGCATACCTTAGGGGGAGAGAGGGAAGAAAAGAAGATTACAATCTCGGGCGGATTTGGATGTGAAGGAGTTAAAAGCTAGCAGAAATTTTCATGTATAATGAATGGGGAAGGCAAACTTCTGTATGGAAGTTTCCGGCCTTAACACTGAGAAGGTTAAATATGATGTACTATTATGGTTATCATCAAATTCCATTGCAAATGTTGTCTGCATTTTCAATTATCTTTCAAATTAGACTCGCATTTTCCAATTTCTTTGGTTTCCATGTATATATATAAGGATACTATTTGGTAAGTCCTTTCAATGAATTCATTTAAGACAGCCAGTAAGAAGTAATAAATTGAACAATGAATGATATGTGTCATAGGATTTAAAGATAAGCAAGCAACAGCTAATCTTAAGCATTTTCTGGCCCTGAAAAGGGCCTTTTTTTTTTTTTTTTTTTATGCTGAAAGCTTTGAAAATTTACTTCGAGCTGGTGTACTTGGTGACAGCTTTGGTACCTTCTGAAACAGCATGTTTTGCCAATTCACCAGGCAGCAACAGTCGCACTGCAGTTTGAATTTCTCGGCTAGTGATGGTGCTCCTCTTATTGTAATGAGCTAAACGAGAAGATTCTGCTGCAATTCTCTCAAAGATGTCATTAACAAAAGAATTCATAATTGACATTGCCTTGCTCGAAATACCAGTGTCAGGATGAACCTGTTTCAAAACTTTGTAGATGTAAATAGCAAAAGATTCCTTCCTTCGCTTCTTCCTCTTTTTCTTGTCACCAGCTCGAACAGCTTTCTGGGCCTTTCCAGCTTTCTTAACAGCTTTTCCAGATGCTTGGGGAGGCATTTTCAAATTCTACGAATGAGATGAATCACACCTGAAAGGCCGTATTTATGCATTTTGGCCGTTTTCCTTTTCAACCAATCACAAACATCATGATGTAACCTATTTTTTGAGAGAGAAAATGTAATGGGGAGGTTAAAAGAATTTGTATATGAAATACATTTTTGAAAGAAAATTGAGTTTCGTTTACGTACATATTATTTTGTTGTCAAATTAACCCTGTCAACGGCCACACCGTGCTGAAAGTACCGGTTCTCGTCCGAACACCGCAGTCAAGCAGCGTCGGGCGCGGTCAGTACTTGGGAGGGTGACCACCTGGGAACACCGCGTGCTGTTGACATTTTTGTCCTCTTGCAAATTTTTATGTATCCGTACTAATAATTATTAATTCAAAATACATATTTTTTGTGTGTGTGTCTGATAGGAAAAGCTATAGTTATATAAAACACTGATAACTGATGACATGCAAGCCTTAATCTTATGCTACATTTATAATGACACCAATCTGTTGAAATAAAAATTCTCGTTCTCCTGATCTGTTCTC